AGTGGTACTGCTTTGCCTAACTTAGAGGCTTGGCCTGGAGGTCAGCAGTGCTAATGTATACCACTTCGGTGTCTGGGGATATTTGAGTTGAAGTTTCTGCCCCTGATGTGCTCTTAACACTTTCAGGCTTTAAATGAGTCCATGTAGGTTTGGGTCCACTGTTTCAAAACTGCAGAGCTATTGTTTCAGAAAATTAGGCACTGTGCCTAAGATTTTGTTGATCTTTGCCTTATGCAACAAGGAGAAAAATACAGCAAAATTCAGAGCCCAGTCTTTTTCCTCTAAGTGATTAAGCGCATTGCTATCAGACATACGCTAGCACAAGCACTGTGTATTTCCTACTGTCTTATCAGCTTTTGGAGTCTCACATTAAATACATCATCATTTTGTGGGCACGTTTTGAAAGCTTCTCCTTCCCTGTTTTGTGCCCTCTTCCAGTCCTTGAAGTGGTACGTGACCGCTCGCTGTCCTCAGAGCTCCTACCCATTTATCAGCAGCACACACCAAAACACACACTGGGACAGCTACACATTGCAAAGACAGACCACTCAGGAAGGAATTTCAGGGAAAAATCAAATTGGTGCTAACTCTGGAAAAAAAAGGTTTAATAGTAGAGATGAGGCTAGATAACCTTCTTAAGAGCTTACTACTTTAATCTATTGAGGTCACTTTATCTGGGTATTTACCAGTATCTAGAAACCACACAGCAATTCCTTTTTATTTTTTCTAATCCTTCCATCTGTTAAAATTAAAAAACAGGGATGGAAAGAAAGAGAAATATTCACAGGGAGATTTGGAAACTCCACGGAATTGGTAGAGGACTAGGATGAATTTCTAAACTAATGATACACGGCTGCTTTGAATTGGGGATTGCTGAGAGCTGGACAACCATTTGTAGGTAGGTGGGTTCAGTTTATTTGTTAGAATAAAATGGTGACACCACCAAAATGTTGGATTTAATCACCATGAAGTTCATCCTAGGAATTAGCCCTAGGTGACCTCAGTACTACAGAAGCTTGCGATATCTGATTGTACCTGAACATGAAAGATTTCAGCCTCTGCATCTACCAGAATATAACTGCCTGTGAGCACCAAGATGAATACATGATCAAGAAAATATACACATCATGACCACATCTAGAGTGGGAATGGAGGCATCAAGCCTCTCCTTTCTTTTTACCTCATCCTGCCACAGCTTTTTGCTCAGAAGTACCTGAAGTGGTGGGAGGAAACCCTTCTGGTGAGAGAAGCATACCTCTCCTCCTCATCCCAGCTCACCAGGCTCAGGCTGCTGAATCTACCCCACTCATAGCAGTAGTATGTCTGATCTTCTTGTTTCTCTTGACACCTTCCCTGCCTCATCACCTCTCAAGCAGCTTGGTGAAACTCTAAAACCACCTTCTGCCTCCATTGTTATAATCTTTGAGCAAGAAGTACCTCTCTGGGATTGTCCCCAAAGTTTTTTCTCGCATTCCATTCTCACCATTCTTTTATGCTGCATGACCAAAGAACTCCTGCGGGCCAAGACCAAGATGTTTTTCAGGACAAAGCTATAAAAAGGTTGTGTTTTTCTTTTTAGTTTTTTTTTTTTTGTTTTTTGTTGGGTTTTTTTTTCCTATTTCCCATTCTCAGTTCACTTGCTGTTTAGGCCACAATCATTTTTTCACCTGATGGGATCATGTACCTTCTTCCCACTTTCCTTCACCTCCTCAGACTGCCCAATGGCTCTTCAGTTTCACATCTCTTCCCACTCTCTGACCTCAGCCCCATGCTCCTCCACATTAACATGTAGACCTGACTAGAGCCGTATGCTCTCTGGGAGGCTAAATCTGACACAGCTACAAGCAGTGTGCACCCTTACTGAAAAGGTAAGAAAAGGTAAGAAAAGGTAAGAAAATCTCATAACCGAAGCCTGTTCCTACTTCCATCCTGCCAGCCACTGAACTGATGATGCTGATGCTGCCTTCTCCCCCTCTGAGCTGCTTTGTTTGAAAGATTCATATATTATGGAAATAAAATATGGAAAGGTGATAGTTTAACTTACTTAATGAAGTGCTCTGCAGCCTGATGACTGCGATTTATTCTGCTTCCCAAGTGGTTTAATTCTACATCAGTTCTCCTTGATTTGCCAGAAAGCAACAGTAATTGGAACGGGAGTCACAGCGGCTGCTTTACATCAAATTATGCAAGAATTCCCCACAGTCTTCACTGGGACACAGTTATTTCTGGCTGTAATTTTATTATTTTTTTTTCAGTGTCTGCCAGAATTGCTTATTTTTGTAGAAATTTCCAGCAGGAATAGCTCAGCAGTTTGGAACAGGAATGTTGTGTCAGGTGAAGAGAAGGATAGAAGGCATCTTGTGTGTATAATAATCTCATGCTTTCAACAGTCCTGAAAAGTAAAGCAGTTAGCCACTGACCTAGGCTTCCCTCAGCAACTCTGCTTCTAGGTATCCCAAGAGAAACTGATTCTGAGGGAGCAGATTACTTTCCTGTGTTAGCAGGCTATGCATGTCAGAAACCATTCACTGTACCAGACAGGATGCAGCACTCATTGGGCGGTGAAGTCTGGCCAGATGCTGTCATGACATGCGGGTCTTTTGGGAAACCTCCATCCTTTACAAGGCAAAGAGATCCTCCCATCATTTCTTCAATGTAGATGGTGATACAGAGATGTCCCCCATGAACATCACTGTGCAAAATCTAAAATAGGTCTTCAGTCACACATCGCTGCTGAGGGGGGTCTCTGAGCATGGACTTCTCCTTTGGACCAGATCAAGAGCCTGGACACTTCAGAATGCCTTCTGATGGACTGAATCCAGTGTAGCTGAAATTAAGTGGACTATCAGAAAACTGGTTTTGTTCAAGTTTGGTTGTTTCACAAAAGTGAGTCCCAATTACGTTCATCTTCAAATACTAGAAGATTGAGATGCTACAAGTCTGGTATTTCATAGATGTCTAATGTAGGAGGTACCAATGTGGCTCAACATGCAACATCTGACAACCACTGAATGTTTTCAATTTGGAAAATACTGTAAGGCATTCAAGGTGGCTTATAAACTGGAATTCTATATTGCCAGATTACACTTGGCCTTCAAGTGAGTGCAGCAAAGAAGGAAAGAAAGAAGGAAAGGATCATTTTCTCCACTTTCAAACTGCAGCTCAGTGAGAGCAGCCTCAGTGCTTTGTGATCTGGTAAATGTCACTTCTGGCATGAAATGATTTTTGTTGCAAAGCCTTCAGTGTCCTATCTCATGTATTTGTAAGCCTCCAAAAAAACATTTCCTGATGCCCTCCCAATCTACTGACCTGTAGCTGCCCTAACCTTGGCTCTTGTAGGTGGGAGCCTTGCTACCCCAGGATCTTCCACCCTCAGCTGTGCCAAGCACTGAAACTTAATGGCTCTCCAAGCTGTCCTTGTCTCCAGATACTCCCAATAACTCCCTCTATACCGTAGTTCTCCCAGCATAGCCAAACACCAACCTTCACCTTTTTCAAAACAAGGTAGTATTCATGATAAGAAAATGAACATGGCTGAAAAGCTGTAACACTGCAGCAGATAGCAGTGCAGGGACAGGAGCAGGTGAAATTTAGGGAAAATGAGAATTACCAGACGGGTGTATGTGCACCTTGCAAAGCCCCAAGATGCTGGCCTACATCAAGATGTCTGTCCAGCACATGGTATCTTGATAAGATTAGCACCACATGCTTAAATGGTAGTAATATCACCAAAATGGGCATTTTCCTTCTTTGTGACAGTGTTCCCAAGGATCCCTGTGAAATTTCATCGCTTTTGACCAACGCCATCATATGTATGTCCAAGTGATACAGTTGAGCTTTGGCAAGATTTGCATCCAAACACAGATCCACTCATCTTCAGGTTAGAAAATGCTCAGAACAAAAGAAGACCAAACTAAGAAATGTGCTGTCATCAGACACCTTTTCTTCGTTTGAACATGGCACTGCCATTCAGTGAGCTAAAAAACGTTGGGCAACAGAAAAAGAATTAAGAAATTGGGCAGGCAGAACATATCTGACAATTCTTTTAAAACAAAAATCTTAAGTTTTGCTCCTCCTGTGCTTGAGTGAACTCCTGGCTTAAAGACAGATATAGTGAATATGTATATTCCCAGTACCCTATACAACCAGTAAGCCATTTCAGTTTGGGTGTAAACACTGTCTATTCTCAGATGATGTGCCTATGATTCTTTTGCATCCTGAGGCCCTTGGCAAGAATCCTGGCAAATAAGGTTAGTCTCAAAATACCTGAGGCAGTGGGTTTCTAAGCCTTGATCTACTTGGAAAGAGGGAAGCATCTCTTTTTTCAGGGAGAGAAGAAAACACAGAGAGATCATTTAAGGAATGCAAACTCGACACATACCAAGAATAAAAAAGCCCAATGCTGACAAACCAGGAGGCAGCAGGCAGAAAATATCACATCATTAATGTTGTTAGTAGGCCCAAAATAGCACAGGAATGAATTTCCAGTGAACACAAACAAAAATCTAGGGATGGTAAAGTCTGTAACTAGCTTTAGCAACCAGTGAATTTTATGTAGTCGCCACTGATGGCTGTTTGGTATTTTTAAGACATAATTGTTCCTCTAAAAGTATTGTGATATCTGTGATATGGGAGGGATTATAACTAATGCCAGTCTTTTCCACTAGAGGCAGATCTTTTGGAGAATAAATATCCATTTTCCATATTTTACTTAAGACTGTAAATTCCGAAAGTGTCACAAGCACAACATACCCACAGGCATTTTCTCAATGAATATGAGATTGCCAGGTCACATTTATCAATGCATCTAATGACAGGACAGGCCACAGCAAAACAAGCTGCTTTTCTTGTTACACCAATGCCCTTCAGCTTTGACCTTGGATGACATAGTAGCATCATAAAGATCTCTGTGTGCCCATTTAGCTCTTTCCTGAGAAAGGGTACCCGGTGTGGAATCCATTAACACCATCAAGATAGTATGTGTAATATGTGCATCTTAATTATCATAAAATTAATATATCTTTTATTTAGGAGAGAGCAATATAGACATATTACAATGAAAGATTTCTATTGGTATAGTGAAGCACTACTAAAAGCCAAAATACCTACAGATAAGGACTGAGGCAATAGAACAGAATCTGTAACAGAGAGAAAAGGAAGCCGGAACATCTTTTTGAAACATGCTATAATCCAGTTCTCCACTAGCTGCAGAAACTGCTATGTGATGCTCTTTGCTTTGCACTACTCCTGACTGATGCAGAGAGGTCCATTTTGGCCATATAAATCTAAATGTTAGAGATGAATTCCTAAAACCTAAAAGCAAAGAAAGAAATAATGAAAAAAAGTCTTACTACACCAAATACATTAAAACTTCTGAGTCTTCTCAAGTTCTTTGTCACAATACTTTTATTGTCAGTGAAACCAGGAAAGTAGCCTTATATGCAAGGTGTTTATTATTCAGCTGGTCTTACACAGGCATCTGCTCAGAGTCTTCTGTACTGGTTTCAAGATGAAAATACTGTTCTTTGCATCTTAGTCACACAAGCAGTACAGTTAGGAAAGTACAAACCAGAGTCTAGCTTGCTTTGCTTTTCATTGAGGGGACTGTTTAAATCCCAGCCAAAAGGAGTGTACAAGCTGCAGGCAAGTTTTAATCACTGGTGAGGACAAGCCAGGGAAAAAATAAACTCGTACTCGGTTCTTAAATACCAAGCTGAGGTTTTCAGGATTTGCAAATTTTCAATGTCCTCTTGTTGCAGAGTCTTCTGCCTTCTCTGCAGCACTCCTGTTAACAAAAGATGCTCAAATTATTGCTGAATAAATAGGGACATTTACACTGTTTCAGCATTCTTAGGGTAGACGTCTGATAAGAAGATAAGCAGATCATGTTCTCTGGACAATGTCCTGCTGGGTGTTGATTACACCTCCACCCACCTTCAAGAAAATGTGAGCTTAACTAGCTGTAGCACAGGCTACCTCACTGTCTGAAAGTGCAATAAGAAGCATCTTGGATACAGAAAACAAAGATTGCATCATTGAGTATTAACTTTTCTCTGTTGAGGTGCTTGAAGAGATTAAAGGCTTTTTCTTAAATTTTAATCTTATTCATTAATGAGGAAAGGGCTGTTTGTCATACAGCAAGAATACCTAAAGTTTAAAGTAAGCACTGTGCATAAATCCTTGCTTTTGTAGAGAAATAATATGCCCCATATACATTTTCCTTTCCCTGTTTTATTGCTGATGAGATCTTCTGAGGCATCACTAGCAGAATCATAGAACCATAGAATGGTTTGGGTTGGAAGGGACCTTAAAGCTCATCCAGTTCCAATCCCCTGCCATGGGCAGGGACACCTTCCACTAGGGCAGGTTGCTGCAAACCCCATCCAACCTGGCCTTGAACACAAGAGCTAATTAGCTGTGTCCTTTAGCTAATTAAGATCTCATATTCTTTCTTGAGAGGAGTGAAGTCTTGCTGTTACTTCCTCTAAGCTAACCCTTTCCCTGCTGTTTAACTCCTCATAGGTACAAGTGGAGTTAAATCAACAATTGCCCTGAACAACTCTTCAAAGCCTCAGGCATTAGAAGGCAAAGATTCTGACCTTATGGCTGCTTCTGCTTCTACTCAAAAATTGAGCAGACACATTTAAGACTAACAGGTCACTGTGCCTCAGGGTCAAGATCTCTTTCATCCTCAGGCATACACCACATAGTATTCTTGTATGTCCCTGTAAATTAGGGTAGACATACATCAGTTATGTCAGGCATTTGCTTGCCTCAGATGCAGAAAGATCACAATATTTTTTTCCTTTCTCAGTAACAGTGGGAGTCTGGTTAAGAACAAAGAATTAATAAATCCCATCTGCTAAGGACAGTTATCTCCCTCATCCAATCCTTATTGCCCACTATGTATTGCCACTCCTCTGAGGTGCAGGTCAATGCATGTGTACTCTCATACCTCTGCTCGAAGGGTAAGAAGGGCATTTGCAATCACTGGTGCTCAAGGATAATGACTCCAGATTAACAGCCAGGAGATTAATGTGGAATAAAGCTAAAACTCGTTCAAACTTAATTCCCTTTGCTTCTGAAGCTTTCTCAGAAAACCACACTTTCCTCAGAACAGTTTCTTCCTTCCCTCCTACTCAGTGCCTTTTCTAAACAACATACCATAGCAGATGTCAGAGTTTCTGCTAAAGACTGGAAATGCTGCTGTAATGGGTCTTTTTCTATGAGACACCAAGATTCAAGATGCAGTGGGGACAGTATGCTGGTCACCAAGTAGGAAAGGGAGATCTTTTTGCCCCAGACCACAGGGCAGATTCATCTGCATCCCAGACTCACTTCTTGTGCTGAGGGTCTCCACCTGCCTTCCCTACGTGACAGGGAAAGGAGTCAGTGAGCCCAGGCTCAACCCCAGGACCCGTGTTAGATGCAGAGATGATTCCTGAAGGCCGCTGTCCTTGGAGAAGTTCAGCAGAAGAGGAGTTCAAACAGATATTGATGTTGCAAACAGGAAAGCGTATGGGGGAAGGAAGCCCTGGCACCATACCATGAGGCTCCTTTATTTGGGAGAGCTTTTCCAAATAGAGCAGTACTAAACTGACAGTACAAAGTCAGGTTTTGCATTCCCAGCTTCCCAAGAGGATTAGGGTCTTACCTCTGCAGCAACCACCATACTAGACCACATGGCTGGAAAATACAAATGAGTAAATGACAACTTTGGAAATCTTTACAGTCTCTGTCCTGGTTAGTAAACACAGAGCAGATTTGGGGCTTAAACATCTTTCTCTACTATTGCTTCTGGTTCTTGAGGTTTTCAAGATTCCTGTGGCTTGCTTTTGCCTTTTGCTGCCTTTCAGTCTCCTGTATGCTTGCTCTTCACATTAAGGTTGTGTTGAATCTTCTCTGTTTTGTTTTCCACAATAACCATAAGCATGGTCTTTCAGGGTACATGCAATTGCCTGATTTCTGCCAACCAGACTAACAGCTCAACCAGCCTGTTGAGGTTATTGGGATTTCATTATGCACACCAGATTTAATTCTTTACAGGCCTCCCACAGTTTCTTAATTACACCTTGTTCTCCGCTTACCATTATTCCTTAACTGGCCTCAAATTAAAGTCAGTTAAAAAAAACCCACCACAACATAACTGGCTTCCTTTTTCACTTGTGGTTGTCCAACATCCATATAAAACAAAAGATGCCTTATAATAGCCTTATGTATTTGATCCTCGGAACTGAAAATTATCTGCAAAGATAATAACAGTCAACCCTGCTGTGTTCCTGGTCTTAATTTAATAGAATAATGGCAATGCAAGCCTGGTAAGGACCTCCTGGGATCCCATACTCCTTTGTCCTCTCTGAAGGATAGCGCTATTATACCTAGACCATGTCTAATAATTTGTCTAGCTTGATCTTAAAGCCCCTCCATAAACACTCCTCCTCTGTGTAGCACATTTAGCCACTGCAGCACACATAATTCCTATTACTACATCCTGAAATATCTCCAATGCAAATTCACTGAGTTCATCACAGACTACTTTGCAAGGGTCTTTTGAGAACGAATTACCGCTTTTCCCTTTAACAGGTCTTTGAACACTGTTACATCTTACCTCTAGTCTCTTTCCTGTACCAAAGCAAGCCATTTCCTTCAATCTTTCCTCAGAAGCCATAGATTTCACTTTTGTTTTCTGGCTGTGTTTTCTTTATCTCCTACCCTTTTGATTTCCCTCTTCGGGACTCCTCTCAGTTTGGCAACAGTTTTGAAAGTGCGGTGCCCAGAACTGTTCAGTGCCAATGTCGGCATCCCAGGGCCAAGCAGGGAAGGATAATTACCTTGCATATGTTACCTATAACACTTCCGTCAGCCTTGCACAGCATGAGATACGCTCAGTTTTGTAACAGCACCATATTATGACAATGTCCTTCATCATGGCTCCATTAGAGCAATCGCATCTCTTCATTCCCTAGTTTAGAATTTATTTTTCAATTTCCCTTTCCTAAGGCTAAGTGTTTGTATTTGAGTACTTACTTCTCCTTGGTTGGTTTTGGGGCCTTTAGTGCTATTTCTCAGTGTGATTCTGAATTTTGATCCTGTATCTCAAAGAGCTTGTAATCCCTCATAGCCTCAGTGTTCTTTGAACAAGTTTGTTTCATGATCCGAGTTGTTAATGAAAGTCCTGAGTAGAAACATGATTTTTGCAGAGCCCTGCTTTTAATGTTTTTCCAGTTTAACATCAAACCACGTGAATGTGTGCTCACTGTATCATGACTCTGTCTGTAGGTACGTCTTTCTTTCATTTCTTTTAGAGCATATTAGGTGGGACCCTATCAAAAGCCCTGCTAGAGTCAATATGTATCTACATCGTCTCCTTTATCCATGAGAATAATTATCTTGTCAAGAAGGAAACAAGGTTAGTTTGACATGATTTATTCTCCACAAATCTACTCCAGCTGTTTTCATTAGCTTATTATTCTCTAGGTACCTTATACATTGATTCTTTAATAATCTAGCCATGTATCTTTCAAGGTAACACAGATAGACTTGCTATCTCCCTGAACCTTTCTTTTCCTCTTTTGAAGGATGGGTTCTGTGGGTTTTCTTCTAGATCCTAGAGAACCTTCTCCTCTTTTGTTACCAATGAGTGTTAATGGTTCAGATATTGTTTCAGTTTCTTAGATACCGCAGGGTAAATTCTACCAGGCCACTCTAACTTTAATATACATAACACATTAAATATTTTCTAACCTCTTCTTTCCCTACTCAGACTTGGGTATCTGTGCCTTTTGTAAACAAGCTAATTGCTTTAGGCGTTTGCTCACAGTTTATGTATGACCTGAAGGAAAGATCACAGAATCATAGAATGATTAGGGTTGGAAAGCACCTTAGATGCCTTTGAATATCTTGAGTATCATCATGATCCATTATTTGCAATCTTCCCCTATTAAGAAATGGGACTGACTTTTACTTTGTCTTTTCCTGCTCTTTTAGTGCTCATACAGTCTTTTCACATTAGTTTATTTTTATCACCCTCAACAGCAGCAAGTTGTGTAGTTTGTCTTTCTAGGCTCAGCCACACACTTTTGGTCACTTTTTTCCACCCAGCTTTAGCCAGATATCCTTGTTCCTAATTTGTAAATAAATCCTTTTTTCATATTCAAGACTTTTAAAAGCTTCTGCTGCAGCTATTCCTTTTTCTTACACTGATTCCTTTCTCCTTCATAGCACAATAATTTGCTGTTGTGTCTTAAATACAGCTTCCTTCAGTAATAGCTCTCTCTCCTGCGCTTCCTTATCCTTAAATTATCTTCCCAAGAGAATCCTCTTACAAATTCCCTGAATTTCTCAACGTCTGTTTTACCAAAGCCCATTATCTCTCTTTTGCTTCTCTCATGCTGCCCTTCTCGTAAAACAGCAAGCTACGATCAATTGCTTTGCAACCATTTCCTTTCCCTTAGTCCCTGGAATCTGTCATTTTTACAGAAGTTGTCCCAGTGTGTTAAGAAACCCCTGTACCTGAAAGCTGCTGCAGTTTCTGGTCAAACAAAAGACATGAAAAAGCAAAGCACGTCCTGCTTAAGCCTGAACACAACGACACTTGTACTACTTGATAAGGTTCAGCATTACTCCCGAAACGTGCAAAGGTGATCTGCTTAATTCTGATGTGATGTGGCAACCGAGATGCAACACACATGCAGAGAGGTATTGTTAATCTATTTGTTACTTAAGGAAACCTAAACCAGTCAATGCAGTTAGCAGTCATCACTCACAGTATGCAAGCATACAAATTTCTGTATGACTTCTTAGCACCTTTAGAACTGCAGAGGGATATTCATATTCAGCCTTATGGTGAACTGCATCCAGTCCAACAGTGATGGAGGGACTACACAACAACTAAGTCAATTCTCTATTCTGTAACTCAAAATGCTCTCCAAAGCTAGGCTATCTGAGGAAAAAGGGGGAGCACATGCACATAAATTCCTTACCTGTTCAGCTTAGGAAAAATCTAAATATGACACTGTTAGTAGGTTCTATGTCAGACTGACATTTTAAACTGCTTTCAGGGGGGCACCACGTTCATATTTCAGCTGTCTTCTCATTATTGCTAAACCTGGAAGCTCTACTGGATGACAGAAATATTTGTACAGTTAAACACCAGGAGAGAGGAAAACACACATGTCAGGAAACTGTCCGAATGGGGAGCTCACTTCAGACAGAAATCTCCCTTTAAGCCATACAATGAAAAGCTGCCTAGTTTCATCCTTTTTGAAGGATCTTATCTGACAGCCCAGTGGTTTGGCTGTCATTCCCCTGGCAGAATTTAAAGCAGGTTTAGATGCCTGCTCTCCATCCCCATGTAAACACCACACATGCAAAACTATTAATGACAATTAGATTTAAAAGCCTGGTGTAGGAAATCTCTCCCAGAAGCTCAGTGAGCATTACAACCATCCCACCTGCCAATATACCTCCCTCAGCAGGAATTTTATAAAAGGAGAAAAACAACTATGCTCTCTTAATCACTGGCTACCAGAAGCTGTCAATGAATAAGGAGGAGCTCTTTCACATCTCCTGAGACCATTGTACTTCCCAGAGGAACAGGAATATGAGACTCTTGGTTTACTGTCTCACAACCACTACATTATAACTTTTTGGTTTTAAAGAAGAGATGCTTACTGAGGTATTTCTAAAAAGCCTCACTGCATTTAGAAAGACTGCTCCAAAACCCTCCTCCTTGAACAGTTAAACCCCCTTTTCTGTTTTTTAGACTGAATTGCATCACGGGCCATCTATAATCATGTCGTTCAGTTGCAAGCACGGTCCTTAATCATTCTGTCTCCTCCCTAGAATAGATACAGATCTATACTCACATCTCTTTCATACTTTTTGAGCATGACTGATCAGCTTTACTGCAGGCAGAGTTATTATAACCTTGGACTGTGGTCTATACACCTCTTGCCCCTATTAAAACTTACCAATTTTGCCTATTTCTACCACTAAAGTCTTCTACTACAACATTCTGATCACTCTGCAAAATTAACTGGGTTTTTTCCTTATTTTCTCTACAGGGTTTATACAAATGTCCATTAGGATCAGTCCCAAATCCACCCTTCTGTTACCTAGCCATCAACTCTCTTACCTTTCCTTTAGCCCCATGTCCCTTTGACAGCCTTCCTTTCTGCTAGATCCTTGTTTAGTGCTAGGGGAGAAAATGGCTTGCTGCAGAGTACAAAGGATGCAGCACAGACAAAGCACAGATGAAGAGGAAAGGACCAGAGAGAAAGTAAACAGCAGTATGAAAGACTTCATTTTTATATATATATATATGTAACATATATATATATATACATACATACGATTTTGGATTTGCAGCAGGTATAAACTGCCCCATTTCCACTGACCTGCTGTCCTAATAAATACCAGCTGAGAAATTGCCATAACTGCTTTTCCACAGGTAAATACTGAAGAAAGCATTTTACAGCCTTATTCTCCATTACATATCACACTAGCAGGGTCCGTTCCTGAAGCTCTCACTTCTCTCAGTTTTTTCAGCTGAATCTCATAGATCTATATTTAGAAATGAAATCATATTAATGCCAGCTGCTACCTTGGTTTCCCAGAATTTACAAGGCACTTTACCATGGGTGCTGAAGTCAGATACTCACCATTCTGTCTCCAGGGACCAGAACATAGATGGGGCTGTTTCTTGCATGTATCTGGGCCATTGCACGCAAAAATAAATGAGTGCTATTATACTGCAATAAGAATGAACACAGGTGGTGAAGGAACCATTAAACATGTCATGGTTAGAGCTCTGGAGATTCCTGATGGCTGCACAGCACAGTCATTCTGCAAGCCTGTTGCGTTGCAACATGATGTAGCTCTTGTGTGAAGGACAGTTGCGTGCTAGGGTTGACTCTGTGACAGAAAATGCTCTTTCCCTCCTTGTTAGTTAGCATAATTTACTATGCATCCTTGGAATTAAAAGGTAAAATACATGGGAAAGCAGTGTCATGCATGGTTTGTCCCTGCCTATTGCAGGAGGTTGAAACCAGATGATCTTTAAGGTCCTGAACCCAGGACAAAGAGTAAAGGAAAGGTGGCAGGAAGCGCCTTCACTCCTCATCTATAGGCTTTGAGCAGGTTGGTATGATCATGTTTCTATCATAGAATCACTGAATGGTTTGGGTTGGAAGGGACCTTAAAGATCATCCAGCTCCTCTGGACTCACTCGAGCAGCTCCGCATCCTTCTTGCGTTGTTGCCCCAGAGCTGGATGCAGGGGATGTAATTATTTGCAGTGAGGTAGCTGGTGTTCACTGAGGGAGGGAAAACACGTTCTTTGCACAGCAAAATGTCTACACAGAGACAAGAGATTCTTTTTAGGAGTCTGTGTTTACCCTTCCAGATTAAAGATGATATTTTACTGATGATTGTGTAACTTTTGAGCGGATGCTTCTTTTCACTTCCAGAGGGAACACAAAGTACTTCCTGTGGGACAAACTGCTTGGAATTTCTGCTTTGTCGTGAGCTCAATTTTCATAAATAAATAAAGCATTGCCCAAAAGCTATACCCTGCCACAGGGTGATGGTCCTGTCCCATTTATTCACATGTATATTGCTACGAGCAACTGTAAACTGAAGCCAATGCTCGGACAGGCATCACTTATATTTAATCTTACATGCTGAAAAAAATCAATAAGTCTGCACAGTGTCTGCAGGTCTTGAGTTAATAGTTTATGGTCTGGCTGACTTACAATTACAAGCAAAAAGTGATGGCATTGTCAGGAGTAAATATTTAATGGGATAATGAGGTCTCCTGTGCCTGTACTTTTACACAATCCCGAGATGTGTTTGGCTGGATTACAGGCTTTTTGCAGGCTGCTCCTACACAAGGGTGTTCCAGTGTGAAATATGAATCCCTGAAAGCTACAATATCAACAGCATAGAACAGTATCATAGAATCCTAGACTGGTTTGGGTTGGAAGGGACCTTAAAGCTCATTCGGTTTCAACCCAGGGACACCTTCCACCAGAGCAGGTGGCTCCAAGCCCCATCCAACCTGGCCTTGAACACTGCCAGGGATGGGGCAGCCACAGCTTCTCTGGGCACCCTGTGCCAGCGCCTCAGCACCCTCACAGGGAAGAACCTACCGTTTGTGAATAAATTTTTACTGTGAATAGAAAAGATTTATCCTTGACTATTACTGTACAGTGCCCCTTCCCCTGGAGCTCTTCCAGCTGTCGACAGAGGCGCCCATAAAACAATGGGTTACATCGATGCTGATACGGTGCTCTGGCATTCAGACCCCCAGGGCTGGACCCTAGACACAAACGCTGGACCCACCTGGGACACCTCAACCCCCAGCCGGCACCGCCGGGGCCCTTGCCCGCCCCATGCGGCGTGAAGGGGGTACTCTTTTGTTTCGGCTTTTGGGATAGCGGCCGACACCGCAGCCCGAGGGCGGGACGCGGGGAGGATGCCACCCCTTGGCCCCCCCTCTCCGCTTCTCCCCGAAGAGCTTCCTCCCCTCGCCGGCTGAGGCAGCAGCTGAGGACTGTCCCTGCTCCTTCCCCCTCCTCAGGGCGGGCGTTGTGGTCGCGGCCGCCGCCTCCCTTCCACCCGTCGGGACTGGTCAAGGGGTCGGCGCACAGGGCCCAGGGGCTGCCGGCGGATGAGTGCGGCCCGGCGGAGGCTGCGGATGAGCCGGGCGAAGGAGCTGGTGGCATACTGCCTGCTCCTGGGGCTGTCCTTCCCCCTCCTGCTGCTGCTGCCGCTTCTCTGAGATGCGCCGGGCGACGGCTCGGCCCTGCCGACGGGGGACGGGCAGGAGGAGCCGGCGGGAGCCCCACTCCGGTGCCCGGCGTGCGGCCGGCGGCAGCAGCAGCAGCCCCAGGGCCTGACGGCCTGGCGAGGGACGATGAGGAGCTCGGGCGGGCTTTGCGGCGGTGCCACCCAGCCTGCGCGGGCGGGCGGGCTGCCTCTCCCCGCGGGGGGGCCCGGCCGCGGCCACGGCCGCGCTCTGCCCCTGCGGGCGTGATGCTTTCGCCGCTGTGATCGCCGCTACACGTCCACGGGTAATGGGCCAGCGGCCGCGGGCACTGCCACCGCAGCCCCCTCACCGCGGGGCCGGCGCTCCGGGACCCTGACCCAGCCCCATCGCCCGCCGGGCGGCGGCTGTAGCCGGGACAGCTGCCGGCCGGGGCGCTCGCGTTGCTGCAGATCCGCCGCTCTGCGGGGCGGAGTGTGTCCCCGCCGGCTTGCCGTGCGGGGAGGCGGGCCGGGGGCCGGCTGAGATGGGAGAGAGCATGTCCAAGAGGCTGAAGCTGCAGCTTGGAGGCGAGGCGGAGATGGAGGAGCGGGCTTTCGCTAACCCCTATCCCGACTATCAGCCCCAGGGAGCCGCGGCAGCTCCCAGCGCGGCGGACGCCCAGCGGGACAGGGCGCCGCTCCCGGCGGAGGACGAGTCCCTCCCCTTCGACGCCGATGGGAAGGTGAGTCCCGGGCGGGCGCGCAGGCAGGCGCCGGGTCCCGGCCCCAGGGCCCTGCCTCGCCAGCGGGGCGCTCCCTCCCCGCAGGACGGTGCCTGCGGCTGCGGGCGCTGCTCCGGCGGGTCCCCGGGCCCGGCCGCGGCCTCCGGAGCCGCGGTGTGGCCCCCGCGGCCTGTTGGGGCCGGTGCGGAGCGCAGAGCCGCCACCGCGGCGTGGCAGCGGCCCCGAGGGCTCCGGAGGGGAAAAGCGGGCGGGGTGAACTGAGGGGGGGAGCAGGGGGAGTTCAGCATGGCCCGGGGTCCGTGAAAGGGGCTGCCATAAGCTGTTTATTTACCCCCCGAGTGCGAGTGAAGCCGGTGCAGGGCCTGGAGGCAGCGCTGCTTGTGCTGCTATTACCAGGGTGGTTCTGCCACACCTCGTGCGCGTTGCCCGTGCTTCACCAAAGCATACAGGGAAGGGAGAGGAGGTGAGTTTCCCCTTAGGTGACAGCCGCACTCAGGCTGTAGGTGATGCTGGACCGTTCTCTCCAAGGCATGCTTTTACTGCCATACACACGTTTATCCGTTCAGGCGCACCATGGCAGGCACCTGGCAATCAGTTCGGGCTAGCAGACACTCTTGTGGCGCTGGTCGCAGTCTTCCTACTCCACTTAACTCCTCAATGCCTCGCACGGAGGTGTTTGGGAAGCTCTTGTGTGCTTTAAGCTTTAAGCACAGATGTTACTCTGTCCTGTTACTACAAGACTGGCTTAAGCTGCACAAGGAATACCAGAATACGGACCTTCTGTCATTTTAGCCCAGAGCAGCCACATCTTTCAGTACTGTGCTGCTTTGTCATCTTCTGGGTGAAAAACACTGTGTGGTGACATTTGTAGAAGCGCAAACACTCTGAGTGGGAAGTGGAGTTTCATGCCGGGGTGGATAAAGGAGAGCCTTTAACCTCAGCACTGTATTTTTCTGTTTGTGGTAATAAAGAACTACCTTGATTTACTGATAGGGTGGGATGAGGATGGTGATACCCAGCAATGAGAGTAGCATTCTTCCTGAATATTGTAAGAATGAGCAGGAGAGCATTAACTCGCCATCAGTCCGAGGCAGTAAAATGTTTCACTAAGTTGTTGCAGCTTAGGTTGATGCAGCTGAGCAGAGCACACAGAAGAAAATGCTTTGGGGGATTGATGTCTTACCGCTGCAGGTAATTGCAGCTGTCAAAAGCAGAACGTGGCACTTGAAAGGGTTTAAAAAGCAGGAGTGGGTGTGGAAGTGCAGTTTCCTTTGTTACAAAATCCCTGGTAGTGTAGTCAGTGCTGGTAAGCAAATCTATTTTTTATTTATTTTTGTGAAAAGAACTGTGATTTCTTTGTTCTTTTGTATCTGGTTCAGTGTATAAAAACCACCCAAATACCATGAGTTGACAAATGAAGGTGGAGAGGAGGTGACAGAACAGCTGTAGCTGTTTACTGTTGTTAAACTGATAAAAAACATACCATGAGCTTTCTTCTGAGGCCTTCTGTAGGCCTGTCTTATGTACCTGCTTTAGATCCCACACTCCATGCCCATTTCTGTAAAGAGAAAATAAGCTTTTGTTTACTGCTGATCTAGGTTGATTATGGCTTTCCACAGTGAGAACTGATAATGCAGGAGGGTGAACTTCCTAAATTAATTTCGTCAAGAGAATTCTAGATGTATTTCAAAACAGCTTAATTCTGATTTGCTTCATCTTTAATTCCTGAATTAATCCAAATTCAGAGACATTGTTCTGTGGCAGAGCTGAAGTAAGTCAGGAATTCCTAGCTGTATATTCACATCAGGAAGCTTGGTGCTGCTCTGCTGTAGATGAGTCTGCTATTTTACTGTGGGTACAGATGTTTCTTCCCAGCATCAGTGGTGGATGACATTCCTTGTTACCATGTGGCAGTTAGCAGCTGTTTGTGCAGCTTTGTTCACAAAACAGTTTTGACCACCTGAGTAGCTGTGTGTCTGATAAAAGGTGGTGTTCAGGCATTCTTAGATTCAAAAGTATGAAGCTCCTCTGGAAAATGTCATCTTCTGTATCACATCGAAGTGATGTAACTACAGTACTGTGATCACAAAAGACATGCAGCTAAGAAAACCCAGAAGACAGTAGGAGCTGCAGAAAAGGTATTTTTTTGTTTTGTTTTGAGAAGGTTTAGATGGAGATGAGGAACAATTCCTTCCCCAAAGGGTGCTCAGGCATTGGAACAGGCTCCCCAAGGCAGTGCTGAAGTCATCGTCCTTGGAAGTGTTCACACACTGTGTAGACAAGGCCCTCAGTGCCATGGGTTAGTGGTGGCCTTGGCAGTGCTGGGGTAAGGGTTGGACTTGATGACCTTAAAGGTCTTTTCCAACCTGGTTGATTCTGTGATTCTATGATTTTCTTTTGTTTCTGCATCTGCAAAATGTGAGGAACTGTCCATATTTCTGGTCTATGGCATAGATATATTTATGTGTGTTTGTATTCTTGGCAGTATTTATATGTTAGTAATACTGGTACTCTCCTGGCTTTTATGAGACTTTGTGATTTTGGGGTCCTGTTTTTTGTGGGTTTTGATTTGAAGTTTGCTGCTTGTTTTAGGTTTTTGGGTTGTTCTTTTTTTGCATTTAGCAGCCTCCAGTCCCATCAGAGAAATGTCTGCCTGCCTAAAACCTCAGTGAAGACAAAAGAACTTTACACAGGTTAGGAAGTCTGTTCTATAAACCCCTGTACAGAACCACACAAGTTTCCTAAAGGTGAGAACAGCTATCAGAAGCCCTCAGTGCACTGCATGATTTCTTCCTCCCATCTGCTGCTGTGTGGAGCAGTGAGCACTGACTCACATAATGACAGCTAGAGGTGTGCGGGGATCTGCTATTGTCATGGAAGGTAGTGCATTATTAATCCCTCCATTTGTTTTCATAAGCTGCCACGATTGCCATCTAAAATCCATCTGGATGATAGAAGGATAAGAAGCTCTTCAAGTCATTGCCTGAATGGGAGACAGTTGGAACAGAGTGCTGCATATGGAAGCATCTTTCTTTGTGTGCATAAGGTACCCTTCAGGAAGGTAGAAAGTGCAGGAGAAGAGAAAACAAATTTGGGGCTGCTGATTTGCCTTCTTAAAAATATTCACAGTAAACACTTCAGTTATCTCGGTGGGCTGTGATCATGTAGTTGAAATTCACTTTTTCTTAAGTACATTTCTTCACCATGAAAGTATTGTGGGCTTGAATTGCTTCTGTAACTTGTCTGAGCAAGCTGGAGGTAGTAATTCATCAGACAGGAGTATGTCTAGATTAATAAGAAACAATTTTAAATGTAAGCCTTTGTTCAAAAAATGATGAATCCTTCAATTAAGTGTCTATTCTGTGACTCGTTTCCTTTTGATGTGGATCCCATAGTGATACCTTAGCCTGATATAGAGTGGTCCAGAAGTTTTCAAAATGGAAATGGAAATGAGGGAGGCAGAGGAATGAATAGGCAGCTGCAGACTCGGATCAAAGCATATTCCTTAGTTCATGGGAAAATAGTTCTTTCTGTTAGTTTCATTTAATTTTTAATTCACCATAATTGTTTTTTGAGGAAAGCATTATTATTTGAAAAACCCCCAAATTGGATTCAGACTTCATGGATAGGCCACAAGGATGTCCAAACAAAAACATCTTTTTCAGGTCAATTTTTTCTTGCTAATTTTTTTCTGATGTGCCATAATGCTTTAGGAATATTTGTAAAAGGTGGTGTGTTCTGACAAACATGTACAATATACTTAATTCAGCTTCACAGGGGCTTCCTTGCAGGGAACCTGTTTTAAAACTGATGATGCTTACCAACAAAGATCATCACTTAATAAGAATACTTCTGTATCTGTAAATCTATTTACTTAGATTATCCTTTGGATGATTTAGTGGTGTTTAGTTTCCTGGGGCTTTCTCAGTCTCCTGTTGGTTCTAGTAATTCCATTATGTGGCTTTTCAGTCTCATCCTCCTCCTTTAAAATATATTAAAAATACATATATATGAAGTTTTTTGTCATCACCTCACCCTTCATTCCCCTTCCCTGTTTTTTGTATTTCTTGGGAATGTCTCACAGGGCATTTTAGTTGTCTCGCTGAGAGCAGGAAGTTCTCCCTGTTCTGGGAGTGATCCTGCAACCACATGCACTAGTGGGAATCATGCCCCTCGTTGCACTGAAGGTGAAATTGAGCCTCCACAGCCAGCAGATATTTCTTCCCACATTTTTTCTGGAGATGTGGGATGGGGTATCTGAGTTTCTTGAGACTGCCACTTTTTTTTACCGTTTCCTGCCACCCTGTCTCAGGCACGTGCTGTTTAAACAGAGGATTTGATTACTGCAAGTCACATTTCTGCTGAAGGAAAGTTTGTTCTGCCTTTTGTGTGTCTCGGTCAAAACTGGGTCTGAAAATCCGTTTTTTTGTGCTTCATTGTCCATTACTAACTCCCAACAGTCAGCGTACACAATCTTAGAGGAAGAGCTGCTGCTTCTTCCCTACAGTGCACATCAGCATCAAATACCACTTAGCACTTTTCTCATGCTTCTATATTGAAAGCCTCTTCTGCTACTCAGGACAGCACTTTAACCACATGGTTAAGCCTCTTTGGTTTTAGTCAACCAGTTCTGAATGAAGACACTTCTAAAAATCATATCCAGAGTTCTGATTAAATTGTCTCACATCCATCCATCCATCCATCCATCCATCCATCCATCCATCCATCCATCCATCCACTCTTCACCAGTTTCTAGTTTCCTCTTGCAGACCTGTGTGTTAATGAGTTGTTACTCTGGCTAGTTGCCTGGGCAAGTGCAATAATAGGTACTTATTTTTTGGTGAAAATAAATAGTAGTTAGGGTCTAACCGCAAAACACTGATATGCTGTCAAGTTCAGTATGTGGAATGTTATCTGCTGTCTGTGCTTCAAAATAATTTGGTAGTATTGGTAAAGGTTTTAGCTTTTTGTACAAATTGTGGACCACCTAAAAGTGTTCC